GGTGTTATGTGGTGACCTTTTAACACTTGTTATACTTTCATGTTAGTTGAACCGTAGGAAGAGCAACATGTTTAGCCATTTATTCTTTATGATTTTAGGGTTTCGAACGTGATTATTTATGTGTGTTTTCGTAACTATTGCTTGATGAGTTATATTTACTCACTCTAAATGATATTCTTTATGTGTAGATTACAAACATTTTCTTTCTTGTTCTGTATTATGTGTGAATGTTATAAAGGTGGTTTGTGTATAGTCAATATTAGATAAAGAATATGTATTTTTGTTTTTCGTCAATTTACATGAATAACTCATTTTGTTCAACGATATTGTTGGTTATTTATTTTATGAAAATGTGTATTATAAGATGGAATTTTCTTGTTTATGATATTTGTTTCAATTGAGGTTATGTATATTGACCTCAAGGAATTGGCTTGACAGTCAAGGAAGTTTGCTCAATTCTTTGAGTTTTTGAGTTCAAATCTTAGGGTTACCTACCACAATAACGTTGTGGTTTATTCGTTCTTTTGAATTTGTAAGGTGTTTAATGGAGCTCGAGAATTTGTTGAGGTGCGTGCAAACTAGTTGGGACACCTCAGTTAAAAAAAAAAAAAAAAAAAAAGTTATGAATATGACTCTTTTGTCCTCTTAGGAGCACTGCATGAGCAAAGGAGTGATGCTTTATTTATCTTTTGTTGTTACTTTTCGTCTTGGTAAACATGTAGAAGTTAACGGATGTAGTTGATGCATTCTCTCAACAAATCATGTTGTGTTAGGTGAGCCAGCTGGGTTCTGCACTATAAGTTAATGAATGCCAATATTTTTGTTCATGTTAAAACTGATTATGTCTTTTATGGTGACAAACATTGATGGTGTGAGGCACTGCATGATCAAGCATACCACGATTTGATGTAATGGATGATTTTACTTTGTTTAATGGTGATATGGATTTTCTTTTCAGTTTCAACTTCATTGCAATACTCTATTTATTACATAATCTGATCAATTCAGTAACATAACCACAAGCATATATATAACAATATACAACAATTTCTTAATTACATATTGTTATGCCTGAAAAGTTAGGGCTGACGTGAAATCTCCTCAGCAAGAGCCAATCAAGATTCAGGAAGGTTTTGTGCCGTCCAGGCGTTGCCACATCGTGCAATCCAGGCGTTGCCACATCGTGCAGTGACAGAAGAGGTATGGTTCTTGTCAGTACAGCAGGTGAATGCCAAGCTTGCACGTGGTTAGGGATTATCCACCTGCCCAAGTCTTATGCAATTTGAGAATATTTCTTGTACAGATAACCAATGGGGTGCAAGGAAAGATTTGCACGACACCTACCCACTTGCAGACTTGTAATCATTACCTTGAACTCTCCCACTATAAATAGAGGACACCCCTCTCATTTATAGGATTGGCTGATCTTAGTCTAAAACAGCTTACACACTCTCTCTCTCTCTCTCTCTCTCTCTCTCTCTCTCTCTCTCTCTCTCTCTCTCTCTGTATTCCCTCTAGATTGTAACTCAGCTCGTCTAACGCGACCTAATTTTACCCATCTATTAATACAATAGCAGTAGACGTAAAATTCGCTTTTGAGCATTCGAACTACTTTAAATATCGCTTCTCATTCATTGCTCTATTTCATATTTCTTTATCACGTATGATTTCTAAGTCCGTTTAGCACTTTGCACGTGCGACTCGTTGGTGTCAAAATCAAGCATCAACACATATAATGCATCCTTCATTTCCTCCAAATTGTTGGACACTTTGCCCAACTCATCATCATACTTGGATGCATGTAATTCCCCTCTTTCAATTTCATTGTTCTGTAATTGTTCATGTCCAAAACCTTGAAAAAAACCCACAATTTCCTTCTCTACGAAAGAAATATTGCCTGTTTGGATTGTCGTGGTTCTCTGAAATTCGAATACGAACATGAAATTCACATCTACAACGTCGGTTCTTGAACTCGATCAGACTACCATTAGTACATTCTATAGATTTTCCTTCTAACATTTTCAGTAACTTGTGTTGATACTTTCCTTATAACCTTGATCTACAGAATATGAACTGAACTATAATGCTTCTTTTAATGTGCATGGTGTTTGTATTTATTCATAAGTGGAGTAATGTCATAACCCTGTTATAGTGCATGTTTCTAGAAAAATTCAAATGTCTAATTCACAACAGTAACAAAATGGTCACTTTCACACGTAATTTGAAGCACACATAGGGCATTTTCGTTATTTGAAATATGGTGGTTAACCCAACTTTTAAATAAATTATTTTATTAGACAAGACACATTGTCGTATAAAACATGATTGAAAGCTTACTTTTTGTGTGTTCATGGGTATTTTAGTCATTATAATAGTCAAACACAAGCTTATGCTCAAATTCAGAAAGTTAATACTACGCTTATAACCCATTCTCACTAAGTTTATCTTACAAACGCGATGTGGTAGTTTACAATGGGTTTCGTTTGTCTAATAATAAGTCATGCTTGATCAATTGTGAACTGTCACGTCATGTTTGTGGGAGAAAGTTAATGAGAATGGTTTGTTAGCCTATCTTTATTCAATTTAGAGTTTGATGAATTTCCTTACACCCTTTCAGTTGCTTAAGTCGGTGAAAATGCAGTTTTAACGGCAGAAATTGACAGTAAGGGAGGTAATTGTGTAATATGCCAAATGTCTGAAGCTACTTGCCAATTTCAGAAATCAAAGGGAGGCAAATGGTTTTTCTCTTTTAATTAATCATTAATTACATTCTTGCCCTTTCTTAAAATATTTTTTGCCAACTCCTTTATACGTGGAAGATGATTTCAAAGTCTTATATAATAATAATAATAAAAAAAAAATAATACTATTATTATCTTGGAATTTAAATAATAAAATTAACAATTAAAACAGTGATGCTTCTATTTAGAAGCAATGACATCCACAATATCAGTCTTCCTGCAATTATGTCTAAGGACAGTATTTTTATTATTAAAATTTTAAAATTTTAAAGTTTTTAATTTTTATTATTTTAATGTGAGTTTTTATTATGTAAATTCGAGGAGAAGAGTTAAGTGGAGGCAAAGTGTTATTTGCAAAAACGTGTTAATTTAGAAAGGAGATAAATATTGAACCATTGGATTTGACATTTATGCACACGAGTGGCCTTCAGGATTGCCTGTCACCATCCTATCTGACAAATTCTGTTACTTTTGAGTTTTTCAAGAAGATTTTTTCCACGTTTTCTGTTCCTCATTCTTTTCACCTATATTTACTCGTATCCCTATACTTTTTGTAATTCCGAAAAAACCCCATTAGTTTTCACAATAATGACAATAGAAAGTATTTAAGGGCTATTGGGGTTGAGCTCATGGATTGGCGAGCTAAATAACAAAATTAATGAAAAATAATATGTCAAAAATATTTTTGCATAAGAATAAATTAAGAGATAATTTTATAATTCATTATATAAATAAATAAAATGATACGTATATAAAAGTATGTGCCTTATCCTCATATCCTTTCAATTTAAGTCTTTATATTAATTTTTATTGATTTAATTAATACTCCCATAATGAAGCTTAATTTTTTTCATATCAACCTAATTTAGGCCTTTAATTAAAGCCAAAGCAAATCAATTAACCAAACATTTATTTTTTATTTTTTTATAATTTACTAAGAGTGGAAAATGTGAGAGAAGCGTGGAATTAATAATGTCCACTTATTTTGTTGAGCTTATTAAAGTATAAAATTGACATTTATCTAAACTTTTTAATTAATGACTTTGTTTATATACCTAATAAAAAACTTAATTATATTTTATTTTTTTGGGTTACGCAAACAATTTCGGCTGAGATGTAATGTAGAGTATTGATTTAATTTATTATATAACTTCACCCTCCACCAGAATTTCATTAATTAGCTATAAAAATAAATAATAATAATAATTATATATATATATAAAAAAAAAAGACATCATATTGCTTTAGAATGCGTCAAGCCATTGAATTGAGACAAAATTAAGAAGATAGAGACACAGAGAATTAGTGTTTTAATTGAAATGAGAATATTTAATACTTTATAATTGTGCACTTCAAATGGATATTAAAAGAAAATTTTGCAATTATTTAATATATAGTTGTAATTAAGATTAAATTTACATATAGTTATTGAGTAGTTTTAATGTGCCGTTAATATTAATGAACAAAAAATTAATATTATAATGGTATTGTTTCTTTTTTTTTTTTAAATTATTGAAAATGCTTTATCAAATTATTTAAAGATGATAATGATAAGTAACAGATATTAGTTAAATTTTGGTAACATAACTAATCCGATAGTGATATTAAGTTGAATGGTATTGTTTTTTTTTTTTTTTTCTAAAATATTTTTTGTCAAGTTTAAATGGTAAGGTAATACTATGTTAGGTAACATTACCAAACCATCAACGTCTAACAACTTTTTTTTTTAATTTAAATTTTTATAAATATGGTTTTTAAGATTTTAATCCAATATTTAAGATTCTATTAACAGATTCTGTTTTGGATAAAACAATTTATTAAATTGTGATTCTTAGTATTCTAATACAATATTTAAGGTGATTCATGGATCCAATAAATATACTTTGTAAGATTCTAATCCTATATTGAAGGCTGTAATCTAAAGCTGATTAACGGATCAACAACGATGCTATTTTGATTAAATCAGTTTGTTAGATTTACATTTTTAATATTTTTGAAATATATATATATATATATATATATTAAGATTATAATCCAAGGGTGAATAATAAACCAGTTATCTTCACAACTTGTTATGGGAAATCAAGTAGTGATGTTTACTTGTTTGAAAAAGCAGTAAGCAAAGGCATAACAATGGAAGAACTTGTCAAATCAAACACTATAAATATAATGAATGGGGTGAAGATTAAATAAACAAGTAGTACAAGGACACAAGTTGATAAGCACTTAGATAAAAAGCAAAAGCAGGCGCAAAACAAGAACAAGAACAAGAACAAGGGAGACGTTAGTTCTTATATAAAGTCCTTTGTTTATTCCTTTGTGAAATTCATCGCCGGCCTCTTCTGTCTCTCTCTCTTTTTGTATATCCTGCATCCCAGAGACAGCATATTCCTTTTTTTTTTTTTTTTTTTTCATTTAAGTCACATTCAACCTTCTTTTCCTCCTCTGTTCTTCGAATTTCAAAATCTTGTCGCAGTAAATCTTTAGTATCTAATCTCCTTGTTTCATTAGAATTCTTTTTGTTTCATCTTTCTGTTTTAGTTCAAAAAACTAGTCACTTTGTTCATCTTATTTGTATATATTTCTGTATGCTTAGAAAATATTTGAAACCATAACAACCCTTTTTTTATCTTTTGGCTGAAAGTTAGTCTTCTTGAAGGTAAAGACTTGATTTTTGGTGTAATTTTTATCAGTTGTGCAATACCCATATCTCAAAATTCTTTCCTTTTTGGTAATCAAGTTGTTTCTTTGTCTCTGAATTGTCGTCAATGGTGGTGAAAATGATGAGGTGGTCACCATGGCCTCTTGTATCGAGGAAATTTGAAGTAATTCTTGTTGTTTGTAAGCTTGAGGGGTTGAATTTGGTACAATTTGATGAAGAGAAGGAGAAGAAAAGATTGGTGATTGAAATAAAGTGGAAGGGTCAAAAGATTATCCCTTTTGGTCCACTGAGAAAGACTGTGAAGAGGAATTTTACAGAGGAAGGTGGGGTTGGCGGTGATGGAGTTGTTGAATGGAATGAAGAGTTTAAGAGTTTGATCAGCCTTTCTGGTTCCACTGATGGGTTTTTTCTGCCATGGGAGGTTGACTTTGCAGTTTTCAATGTGAGTATTGTTCTATTTGCTTTGGTTATTTAGCTTTTAATTTAATTACTTGTGGGGTTTTGATAGTTTTTGTTGAGTCTGATCATGATCTTGATTGGTTTGACTTTTGTTTTATCATGGATTTTGTGTTTCTTATCTTCAATTTGGTAGATTAATCAATATTCTTAGGTGGGTTTAGCACGACTTTTGTTCTATTTTTCTTAGATTCTGTTTGGTTCTACAGAAAATGGTTCTGGGGAAAGTAATTCCAGGCAGCGTGAAGACTGATGAAATAAAGCGTTTTAACTTTTCCTTCGTAAAAATATTTATTAGGAAAAGTGGATATCATATGGTGTAAATTTTATGAGAATCCTTATAGCTTTAGTATTAATGGACGATTAAATCAAATCGGTGGATTCATTATTCTTTTGGAGCATCTTTAGTCATTGATTCTGGTTCTTGTGATGATAATGTTAACCGATTGGCTCTGTGCAGAATATGTTTATCTTTTTATATCTGATCTTTGTCAGTCATATACGGTTTCAAATTAATGGCATATTCATTCTTTAATCCCTTTAGAATCTTGTGAGTTTATTTGATCTTAATATTTGAACCTTAGCCTCAAGCATCTTTGGCTATTTTATTGTCAGATTAAGACTTCTTGTATTGCTATTTCATCTTTCCATGTCCTACAATATTAGCCACAGAAAGTGTGAAATAATATTTGTTTGCTCTCTGATATATAGTTGTTTAACCTGTTTTCTGGGTTACCGGATTTCTTCAATAGTCTCATTTACTGAATTCAAAAGTGTAATTTGCAGTGCCTTAGTATGTGGTATTTTTGATGTTTTATACTTACTTCCCGGTTCATTTGATTTGTGAACAAATATTACATTCCTTCTCCGTCTTCTCTCTCACTCTCTCCCAATTTTATGTGTGGCTTTTACCAGGGACCAAGGAACAAGGTCTCTATCGTTGGAACCGGATCATTGAACATTGCAGAATTTGTTGATTCAGCAACGGAGAAAGAGCTTGAGATTAAGGTTCCTTTGACAATTGTTAAGGGTGACATCATTCAGGGTGCTCCTTCTCTTTGTGTAAGTGCCTTTTGATATTTTTGTTTTCATTTGGCATTTTTACATGACTGAATATAATTTGTTATGTCTTTTTTCATTTTTTACTTTTTTTTGTTTGTCTTGTTTTAAAAATGAATTTTTAGTTTCTTAGTCATCATCAAATTTGTCTATCGCTGATCACAAATTCAACTACATTGCAGTTATCTCTTAGGTTAATGGAGTCTAGTATTGCTCAAGAATCTTCACACGCTGGGCAGAGAACTATAGTGCCTCTTACATCATCGCCTTCTTCTGTGGAAGCTCTTTCAACACAGAAAGTTGAGGTTTCTGCTGTAAAAGCAGGCTTGCGAAAAGTGAAAATATTTAGAGGCTGTGTGTCGAGGCAACGATCAAAAAAAGAATGCCCTGAAGAAGAGTGCAGTGATGGTAGGTGCTCTGTCATAAGTGAGGATATTGGTGATGCGGATTCAGCTGATGGTGATGCTGAGGAGGAATCAGATGAGAGCAAGCAGAATTTTAGTGTTCAGCAGTCTGTCAATTATGAAACATTGGCCTCTTCGAATTGGGCAGGAGGATCATGTCATGCAAATACAATTAGCAATCCTGAAGATGAGGGTTGGATCTACTACAGTAATTGTAGATTGGATGTGGAGGGCTTAAATATTGAGAATTCAACCAAATCCGTCCTTGAGCAGTCTTTGCGGCAAAGTATGAAGCGTAGAATCTTACCTTGGAGGAAGAGGAAACTGGGTTTTAGATCTCCAAAACCCAAAGAGGAACCTCTTCTAAAAAAGGATTGTAGAGAAGAGGGTGGCGACGATATTGATTTTGATCGCCGGCAACTCAGCTCCTCAGATGAGTCCAGTTTTGGGGTAAGTATCCAACCTCTAGCTCCTGTGATTTTCCCGACTTTTGCCTGTAGTTTTAATATTTTTTGCTTGACGTTTCTTGATTCAGAAAGATTGGTTTAATTTATTCCTCAAATTATGGTAATTTTCTGGCAGTGGTATAAATCAGAAGGTTCCACAAGAAGTCGATCATCAATCTCTGAATTTGGAGATGACAATTTTTCTGTTGGCAGCTGGGAAAACAAAGAAATAATAAGCCGTGATGGACACCTGAAGCTACATGCTCAAGTTTTCTTTGCTTCCATTGATCAGAGGAATGAACGTGCTGCAGGCGAGAGTGCATGTACTGCCCTTGTTGCTGTCATTGCCAATTGGTTGCAGTCCAATCGAGACGAAATGCCAATTAAATCTGAATTTGATAATCTCATCAGGGAAGGATCTCTAGAGTGGAGAAACCTCTGTGAGAATGAGGATTATATACGCCAATTTCCTGACAAGCACTTTGATCTCGATACAGTCCTTCAAGCTAAAATTCGTCCTCTATCTGTGGTACCAGAGAAGTCTTTTGTTGGTTTTTTCCATCCAGAAGGCCCGGAAGGAAAGGATTTTGACTTCCTTCAGGGTGCGATGTCATTTGACAGCATATGGGAGGAGATCATTCGTTATGGATCCAACTCTCCTGGCAATGTTGACCCTTCGATTTATATTGTCAGTTGGAATGACCATTTTTTCGTGCTGAAGGTTGACCATGATGCTTACTATATCATTGATACTTTGGGGGAGAGACTTTATGAGGGATGCAACCAGGCCTATGTCCTGAAATTCGACAAAGACACTACAATCCAGCGACTGCCAAAAGAGACGAAGCCTTCAGGTGAAAAATCTGCTTGTGGTAAAGCACAAGGAAATTCATCGAAGGATACGAAGCCTTCCGGTGAAAAATCTGCTAGTGATAAAGCACAAGGAAGTTCATCGAAGGAGACGAAGCCTTCAGGTGAAAAATCTGCTATTGATAAAGCACAAGGAAGTTCTTCGAAGGAAACTTCAGCACAAGAGACTCAGATAGTTTCCCAGAACGAGTCTCAAACCACTGAGGAAGAAGAGATCGTGTGTAGAGGGAAGGAGTCGTGCAAAGAGTATATCAAGAGCTTCTTGGCTGCAGTCCCGTTACGCGAATTGCAGGCTGATATAAAGAAGGGCTTGATGGCATCAACCCCTCTTCATCACCGGCTACAAATCGAATTCCACTATACTAACTTGCTGCAGCCAGTGGTTGAGTTCTCAGCTAATAAGGAAGCGACAGCTAATGCGCCAGCGATGGAAATAGCATTGGCCGTTACATAGAGAGTGCTATAGAGTTATGTAATTTCCCATAACTGTAATTATTTCTCCTTTACTTTCAATATTTTGGTGTATATTCCGGTGAATTGATCAAATATGAGGTGACCATTGGAGTGGTTCATCCAGGGCTGCTTACAATTCTACTTGTAGGACAGGGAATGAATTTATCTCTTGTTCTTGAAACATTTCTAAAACGCTGGCTGATTTTACTATAGTTATCTAATTTTCATCTATAATAGTATTAACTATGTTCATACCGTTATTCATTTCATTTGCCTTCTTCTTCCTGGATTCATAAACTTTTCTCTCTGGAATTTAAACTGCACCAGAAGGGTCTTGTTATTAGTTGTAGATTTACATGGATTACGTAATTAAATAACCTATTATGTCTAACTCTAAAGTACAGACATTTTACTTCTCAATAAAGATAGGCAGACAAACCTTGTTTTATTAATTTTTTTCACAAACACGATGTGATAACTCTTAACTGATTAGATAATATCTATTACGAACTGGTTAATTATGAATTGTCATATTGCGTTTATGAGAAAGAAAACAAAAAAACTAACGAGAAGGGATTGTGCGCAATATTACCCTTCACTTATAATGTATGACTTAGAACGGGATAAAGATTTTGGATCATAACTCCATTGTGACAAGGTTTGACATCTAATATTTAACAAATGTGACATTTTACATCACAAAAGTCCATCATGCTAAGGTTTGAGAGTCTTAATGGGAATTTTTGATATTTTCTCTTTTCAGGTGAGCTTTTAGTACTTTGAAGGGAGTATCTGATAGTTCCCACGAAAAAAAAAAAAAAAAAAATTGCATTCGGCAATGTATTTAAAACATTAATATTATTAATAAATTACATAAAACTGGGAATTGACATAACGATAAAAATGACTTCATCATCGCTTACAGAAGGAAAAGAAATTGGATTTCTATCATAATTCATATGTAAGATGTAAATTAACTACTAATATTTTACTTCTATAATCTGAAAGAAGATGATAATGGCAAGGCCCCTATTGCTATTCTATGCAGAACTATAATCTGAAAGAAGATGATAATGGCAAGGCCCCTATTGCTCTTCTATGCAGAAATTCTGCATAGGAAAACAACACCAGGGCATATATGCACAACCCACGTTCAATACAACTTCATCTATGTCTGAAACACGATTTCAGAATAATAAACTAATAATCAATCAATCATTTAATCCAGCCAAATATGTAAATAATGCAAAGGTCATTTTGTTGAAATAATTTCATCATCCAATGAGAGGTGCTTTCAGAAGAAAAAAAAATGAACAGTTAGCGACAACTAGTGCAATATTAGAATGATGAGAGACAAACTGAGAGATATATGAATGTGGCACTTGATTAGCCTTTTAAGAACATAACTGAGAAGCAAGCTTGACTACTCCCGACATCGGTGCATCATTCTGCAAGAAAAAATGAGTTGCCTAGAAATCAGCATTAAGATTTCAAAGAGAACACGGTTTCCTCCTCAAATCTCGAACATTTGTGCTGTCAAAATGAATTTGTCTACTCGTCCTTTCTAAGATGGCAGAGAATATATCTTACACGTTTTAGTTTACCATATCATCCGATCTTTTATTCTATAAATAAGTACTCCCACATTGTTAATAGTAACCAGGTTTGACCGGATCATCAAAATTTAAATTTGGAGTAATAATCTCATAACGTCAATGCAGTGGTCTGGTAGGTGAACACTCATACATGAGGGGAAAAGAAGAATTTATGTAACTCACCAAATAGACAATATCAAAGGCTTTGCTGTAGCTATCAAGATTATTTTCAATGTTGTCATTCCTGAAACAACAGTTTAGAGAGATAAGTAATTAAATCCACAAATGAACACCATATTCTAGCAATTCACTTCGTGTAACATATTGGAATCAGAATCTAAACAAGAAGACAGACATGCAAGTAAACAGCAGCCAAAATTTCTAACAAACAAAGGTAGAAAGTAGACAGAGCACACAACACAGATCTCTCTTCGAATGCAGGAAATAAAGGGAAAATAGTTGTTTTGGATTTGCACTTGCCTGCAGTACCAACAAACCAACAAGAGGAGCAGTTCATTTCATTTGCAGAAGTTCACTTTCATTAATCAAAAGGTAAAGCTTCATTATATATATTTATCTTTTTTGTTTCTACGAATACAGTTATATAGTACATGAAGCAATTGAAAAGAGAAGGCAAAAGACACATAATTAATAGAGGAATCACAGATCCTTTCTTGGTAACTAAAGTAGGCAAAATTCTTAGTGATAAATGCATTTTCTAACATGATTTCTTGTCTCAATTAAAATTCATCGTTGCATGCCTTATCTTCTGTCAACCTGGAAACTTGTAGAACATACCTAAAAGAGCCTGCACAGACTCATACTGCCCCTAATCTGAAGCCGTAGTGGCAAGATAGTTTTGAAAAATAAAAAAGAAATCATGTGGCCATATTTTGCACATGCATGTCACATACCACCTTTCTAACTAAAAGTAGGGCAATAAATAACAAGAGAATATTTCTCAACAGAGACATTATATTTTTGCAACAAGACATAAGGCTTGGGTTGTTTCGCTCAAACATAGATGCCAAATCAGGAAAACAGAATATGTTCCATATTGAAAGAATGGAAGTTTGGACTCCTCAGGATCAGGAAACAAGATACTTAATTCACGCAAAAGATAGAATGAAATGAAGTGCAAACCGTGAAAAAAAAAANAGTACATGAAGCAATTGAAAAGAGAAGGCAAAAGACATATAATCAATAGAGGAATCACAGATTCCTTTCTTGATAACTAAAGTAGGCAAAATTCTCAGTGATAAATGCATTTTCTTACATGATTTCTTGTCTCAATTAAAATTCATCATTGCATGCTTTATTTCCGTCAACCTGGAAACTTGTAGAACATACCTAAAAGAGCCTCCACAGATTCATACTGCCCCTAACTGAAGCCCTAGTGGCAAGATAGTTTTAAACAATAAAAAAAAAATCATGTGGCCATATTTTGCACATGCATGTCACATACCACCTTTCTAACTAAAAGGAGGACAATAAATAACAAGAGAATATTTCTCAACAGAGACGTTATATTTTTGCAACAAGACATAAGGCTTGGGTTGTTTCGCTCAAACATAGAAGCCAAATCAGGAAAACAGAATATGTTCCATATTGAAAGAATGGAAGTTTGGACTCCTCAGGATCAGGAAACAAGATACTTAATTCACGCAAAAGATAGAATGAAATGAAGTGCAAATCGTGAAAAAAAAAAGCCTCCTTCCAAGAAAATTGATAGACCTCCCATTAAACATGTTTATCAATATAAAGGGCATAAGAGACATTTGAGGCAGTAAATGTAGGGCATGAGGTGACTGGTTGTTTGGAGAAGTCTGTTACAGTCACATGAGTGGGGAATCAAAGTTGTTCGTAGAGAATAGGTGGTTAAGAAGATAGTATAAATAGAGGGGGTCTGTTCTGGAGTATTATTGAAGTTTAGTCTATTGTCATTGAGGGAGGTCCCCAGCTCCTCGAATTGCTGGGATCTATCAGTTTGGTGTTTTATATATTGTTTGTTACTCTTCTACTTTACAGTAATATAATCTCGTTGAGACTCCATTAAGTATATTATTTTCTGTTTTGTGGATTGCTTGTGTGTTTGCTGGTTGATAGTGCAGGGAGTCTTAACAAATTGGTATCAGAGCTTCGTTGGGTAATGGTTAAATCGAAGATGGAGAACAGAGTTGAAGGTTTGGAAAAGGAAATGGGAACTGTAAAGGAAGAGCTAGGGAGTATTAAGGGCTACCTACTAGAACTTCGCGAGTGGATGAAGCTTAAGGAGGAGAAGGATGCAAATCTGAGCCGGGATAAAGGGAAAGAAACTAACGGTGAAGCTTCCAAGAGTAGTGACAGTAAGGGAGTTGATAGGAACAAGGAGGTAGAGAACTTGAAGGTGAAGAAGTTGGAACTACCCATATTCAACGGGGAAGATCCTTATGGATGGACATTCAGAGCTGACCGATATTTTTCAGTGAATCAATATGAGGAGGAAAAAAAGGTGGCGGCAGCCGCCGTGTGTATGGAAGGTCGTGCCCTGAACTGGTATCAGTGGGTGGAGTCCAGAGCACCCATCGGTTCTTTGACAGATTTTAAGACTGTAGTGGTGGAGAGGTTCAGACCATCATTTAAGGGATCAGCCTATGAAGCTTTGGTAGCTCTGAAGCAGATGGGTACAGTGACGGAGTACAGGGAAAATTTTGAAGCTCACGTAGCACCCTTACGTGAGGTAGGAGAAGACATTCTGATGGGGGTTTTTACAAATGGGTTAAAGGAGGAAATCAGAGCTGAGATTTGCCTGACTCAGCCCACTTCTCTGTTTGCCTTGATGGATCAGGCCCACCGCGTGGAGGAACGAAATTGGGTTTTAGACAAAAAACAGGCCAGATTTACTAAAGCCCAAGGAAACAAACTGGACTCTTACACTCGGGTCACCCCAAGCCCAAGCCCGGAAACCGGTCGCCCAAATTGGTGGATTAACCCATCGCGAAATACAGATCTAAATCCCCAATTTTCCCCAAATCGATTTCACGACAGAAACCGATTAAGCGGCAACGCGACGATGCAGAACTTTCGCGGGGATAATTTCCGACGAATGTCTGACGCCGAGCTGCAACAAAAACGAGAAAAGGGTCTTTGTTTCTGTTGTGATGAGAAATATGGGCCAAACCACCACTATCAGAGCAAATCGATCCAGATACTGTTAGTAACCGACGACGACGGGGCAGAAAACGACGATGTCAGTCCTGAGCCCACCTCGGAAGTATCCGACGAAGGGCTTATTGGAGGGACAGAGGTGATTGTTTTGATTGACAGTGGGGCTTCCCACAATTTCATTTCGCATGAATTGGTGCGGAAATTAGAGCTACCAGTGGAGAGAGGTAAATCATTTGGGGTGATGGTGGGAAACGGATTTACAGTCAGAGGAGAGGGAATTTGCAGAAGAGTGCCATTGCGAATGCAAGGGGTTGAATTGTGCCAGGACTATTTTCCATTTGAGTTAGGAGGGGCAGATGTAGTGCTAGGAATTTCTTGGCTTAGTACACTGGGAGATGTCTGTGCAAATTGGAGAAATCTGATAATGGAATTTTTCAGTGAAGGGAAGAGGGTGGTTCTACAAGGGGATCCGTCGTTAGTCAAGACAGTGGTATCATTAAGGGCAATGCTGAAATCCTTGCAGAGAGGATGCGGGATATGTGATTGAGTTATGCTCCATTGGTGTTAAGGAAGAGGAAACAGAGGAACCCATGGACCTGGCAGCCGCAGCAGTTGTAGAAGGATTTAGCCACCTGTTTGAACAGCCTACTACACTCCCACCCAAGAGATCCACTGACCATGCCATAGTCTTAGAAGCCAATACCAAACCTCCTAACATTCGCCCCTACAAATACTCTTTTTCCCAGAAAAATGAAATTGAAAGGTTGGTAGGTGAGATGCTGATGGCTGGAATTATACAACCCAGCACAAGTCCTTTCGCTAGTCCGGTTCTATTGGTAAAAAAGAAGGGTGGTAGTTGACGGTTTTGTGTCGATTACCGGGCACTTAATAACATCAGTATTCCAGACAATTCCCAATGCCCTCAATTGATGAACTGCTAGACGAACTATCAGGGGCAGCCATTTTTACAAAGCTAGACCTCAAATCAGGTTACCACCATATTCGGGTTAAAGAAGAGGACGTTCCCAAAACAGCGTTTAGAAACCACGAAGGGCACTATGAGTTCCTGGTCATGCCCTTCGGGTTGACCAATGCCCCTTCCACTTTTCAAGCTTAATGAACACTATTTTTAAATTAGTCTTGCAGAAGTTTATAATTGTGTTTTTTGACGATATACTGATTTACAGCCCTGATTTGAAGACCCATCTGTTGCACATGTGACACACCTTTCAGATCCTCACCAAGCACGAATTGGTTATCAATTACAAGAAGTGTCTATTTGCCCGTCAGAGATTGGAGTACTTGGGTCACTTAATCTCAGCAAAAGGGGTAGAGGCTGACCCACACAAGATTGATTCAATGCTATCCTGGCCCGTCCCACGCACAATCAAAGGATTACGGGGTTTTTTGGGCTTAACAAGTTACAACCGTTGCTTTGTGTAGAATTATGGTTTAATCGCGCAGCCCTTAACACAGTTACTGCGAAAGGATTCTTTTGCATGGACGGACCAAGCACAGTAGGCTTTTGAAACACTTAAAGCGGCAATGACTGAAGTGCCTGTTCTGGCAGTCCATGATTTCACTCTTCCATTTGAAGTCCACACGGACGCATCAGGACAAGGGATTGGTGCTGTCTTGGTCCAGAATCAGCGTCCCATCGCATTCATTAGCCACGCCTTCTCCAACCAGTCCCGACAGAAATCTGCATATGAAAGGGAGCTGATGGCCATTGTGTTTGCTGTCCACAAATGGAGCCACTACCTTAGTGGCCGCAAATTTATCATTAAATTTGACCAGCGCAGCCTGCAGTTCTTGACAGATCAACGTGCTAAGACACCCGAACAACAAAAGTGGATTTCTAAGCTCTTAGGCTTCTCCTTCGAAATCCATAACCAACCTGGTAGCTCAAACCAAGTGGCTGATGCATTATCAAGACGAGGTGAGGGTGCTGAATTGGAGGCCATTCCGGTGGTCCAATTTTCTGAATTTGATGAGTTAGCGGCCGAGGCACAACAAGACCCCAAGCTGCAAGCAATCATACAAGACCTTCTTTTTGACCCTTCCAACCATCCCCATTATGGTTTTCGTCGTGGTTGCCTCGTCTACAAAAACAGATTGGTCTTACCCACAAATTCGAAATTCATTCCTAAACTATTAGCCGAATTTCACTGCAGCCCGGGAGGGGGCCATTCAGGTTTTTTTCAGAACATACAAGAAACAGATGAATATAGTGTTTTAGGATGGAATTAAGAAAGATGTGCAGAAGTATGTCCATCAGTGCTCAGTCTGCCAATGAAATAAGTATTCTGCTCTCAAACCAGCAGGTTTACTTCAGCCCTTACCTATTCCAACCCAGGTTTTTGAAGATATCAGCATGGATTTCATTGGCAGGTTACCCAAGTCAAAAGGACAGGATCTTATAATGGTTGTGGTGGATAGGCTTACTAAATACGAACATTTTATCCCCCCGTGCCATCCCTACAGCGCTAAAGATGTTGCTGTACTTTTTACCTTTGTTATTGTGAAGCTCCATGGATTTCCCAAGTCCATAGTCTCGGACAGAGATAGGGTCTTTCTTAGTCAGTTTTGGCAGGAGCTATTCAAGGCTGCTGGCACTTCGTTGAAGTTCAGCTCCGCATACCATCCTCAAACTGATGGCCAGACGGAGGTTGTCAACCGCTGTTTGGAAACTTACCTACGCTGCTTCTGTAGTTTGCAGCCCAAACAGTGGCACAGGTGGCTGTCCTGGGCAGAATATTGGTACAATACCACCCATCACAGTTCCATTAAAATGACTCCCTTCAAAGCCCTATATGGAAGGGATCCACCCACTCTCCTCAAGTTTACTGATTACCCTTCTGCAGTGGAAGAAGTGAACCAGTAGATGGCTGCACGCAATGCAATTTTGGAGGAATTGAACATAACTTATCTGTTGCTCAAGACCAGATGAAGGGCACAGCTGACCTGCGCCATCGGGATGTTAGTTTTCAACCAGGGGACCAGGTCTATTTGAAGCTCCAACTGTATCGTTTCAAATCCTTAGCCAAAACACTGAATGAGAAACTGAGCCCGAGGTTTTATGGCCCTTTTACCATCTTAGAAAAGATTGGGCAGGTTGCTTACAAGTTAGAGCTATCTACTACAGCAAAAATTCATCCAGTATTTCACATTTCTCAGCTTAAACGAAGTCTGCACCCCTCGGTCCCTATCCAGCCCCTGCCCTCCTTCCTCACCGAGGAAATGGAACTCCTTGTTCACCCAGAATCAGTATTGGCAATCCGCACTTTATTAGATGGCTCTTGGGAAGTCCTTATAAAATGGAAGGATTTGGCTCCCTTTGAAGCATCATGGGAGGCTTTTGATGTTATCAACCTGCAATTTCCCCAATTCCACCTTGAGGACAAGGTGGCTCTTCATGGGGGGGAGGGGGAGGGGGGTATTGATAGACCTCCCATTAAACATGTTTATCAATATAAAGGGCATAAGAGACATTTGAGGCAATAAATGTAAGGTGTGAGGTGCCTGGTTGTTTGGAGAAGTCTGTTACAGTCACGTGAGTGGGGAATCAAAGTTGTTAGTAGAGAATAGGTGGTTAAGAAGATAGTATAAATAGAGGGGGTCTGTTCTGGAGTGTTATTGAAGTTTAGTCTATTGTCATTGAGGGAGGTCCCCAGCTCCTCGAATTGCTAGGATCTATCAGTTTGGTGTTTTATGTATTGTTTGTTACTCTTCTACTTTACAGTAATATAATCTTGTTGAGACTCCATGGAGTATATTATTTTCTGTTTTGTGGATTGCTTGTGTGTTTGCTGGTTGATGCTGCAGGGAGTCTTAACAAAAATGCAGAACAGGAATCATAGAAGTAGGATGTGTGTGTAGAGAACATACATTCAGACAGCTTTAGTTTCATAACTTTTCTTAATTATGCAGGATATCTTAAGCTTGAATTAATTAGTTCAAACCCCAACTAGCAGATATAGTAAGAGCTGACTTCCAATGAGGATATTAAAAACCATAGCATCTACGTATGCATTTCAATTGATTTGTAGAAGTTGTGAGCAAGGGCTTCTAAACACAAGCATTTAAAGGAATCGACAAATAATAGGATTCTAGTTCAAATACAAAACTTTACGCGAAGTTATACAGAAGACGACATATTTTCAAAGAAATATTAACTAAAGAACTCTGCTAGTTTTACAAACCATTTTTCAGTGTGACATTATATGTAAAGTATGGAGATTAAGCAAATTTTAGAAACTTACAGAAACCCAACAGATATTCGAATGTCGTAGTTCAAGCCATTGGACATTCCCAAATCTCCAATGTGATCACCAAGAAGCAGCACATTGGTCCGAGTCTTAACTGATGAATTGTCATCAATAGGTCCATTGGTTTCACCCAAATGGTCATGAAGAGGAGCAGCCATGTCAAGAGCATGTTCATTTTTGTTTAGAGTATGAATTATCTTCCCTGTATTAAAATTAGTCAAAAGGCAGAAATTAGAATAAAGACAATTATACAGAGCGATACACAGTACCATTTAGAAATTATTCATATCAAATAGTATTTGCATCAGAATTATCAAAAGAAAGTATAATAAGTAACATATGTATGACTCATTGAGATGGACAACTCCATTACATACTAGGAACATAGCTAGAAACATCCACCCTTTAATTTTTCCCAAAAAGAATCCTAAATAGAATGTTAATATTATAGAATAATAATATCCTTATAAGCTACTAGACTTGTTATTGAAGGCAATAGAATGCTACAAACTAGTTGTTTTAATCAAACAAGACATTTTAGCCACAAAGATGTGGTTAGTGGCACCACACATCTAAGGTTATAGAGCTGCATTATCTGAGTACTCATATTGAAGTGGCTGATAAAACCCAATGGAATAGAAAGTAATCAAACCTAGCAATCATTGGAAGGCTGGTAATGCAAATTCATGAAGGATTACCATAAACATATAATTATACAGCAACACATCTCATAAAAACCACTCTCTAGAGTGCTAATGATTAAAGGCTACCTCTGAAGGATACGAGGCAACCATCTTCGTTGAATATCATTCGATTTGAAACAATCTTAAAGTTTTTGAAAGATTTGTGAACTTTTTGCCTCAGGACCTGATAAGAAGAAGAAAAGACAAAGTTTATGCAAATACGTTAAAGTTGCAATGAAATGTGCATGTTTTGAATCAGGACCACCACAAAGTGAATTTTGTTAAACTAACCTCCTCTATAATATCTGCAAGTCCTGCTGAAAATACGAGAACAGGAATGTCTCTTTCCTGCACATTATATACACAAACAGGAAATAAGATGCAGTATTTGGCTTAACAAGATTGTTAGGCAGCGTGACAGATAATAATGAGGTTTCTACATGCTACACCTTGTTTTAGAAGCTTAATCTATGGATGGTATTTCTTTTATACTTTATGGTATACAAGGTTGTGGCTTTGGAAAGGATTTGATGAATTGTAACAGAGCATGCCAAAAAACTAGAATTAAAAGAAAAACCATATCAAGTTATAACTTATTATAAAGAATTAAGATATAAAAGAGAAAGCAGGGTATATACAAGATGGAATGGTCTTCCATAAGGTCCTTTTCTCCGACTCTGGTATGAGACTGTATACGACTTATTATAAAGAGCTAAGATATGTTTGAGAAGGCAGGGTACATTAAAAATGTAATAGCTTCCTTATGCTCTTTTGCTGGACTTTGGTGGGAGACCTAATCTAATGGCTGAAAGGTTAGGGAAGAGAGAAAGATCGTCATTTAGCTGCGTTTGGTGCATGAAGACAAATCGTTTACCCTCACATGTTTTGCTTAGTGTTTCACCAACACAATAGGCCATCAAGGTAACTTAGCTTGTGAGTTGTTTCTTTTGTTTAATGCAGTGTATCCGGGTAGTCAGGAGCATGAGAAGCTTGATTTCTTACTAAAAAAATATTTTCAATATCTGAATGGTAAAGCAACCTTTCAACTACATCTATATTTGCTGCTTTTGAGGAAACATTCGTGGCTATCACTATCTGCTTCATTTTCTCAGTCTACATTATTCTAGATTTTATTGATTGAGTAAATCTTGGAGTCTGCTTCTTTTCATTTTTTAGTAAAACTCCTGCATACTTCAGGGTAATAAATGGGTGTGACTCTCTTTCATTGGCATTCTAAAACAATTTTACTAATAAAAGAATGATGATATTAGCCATAACACCTAGTTCATCACAAACCAAGCCCAAAAATAATAGAACAAACCCCAGCTAGATTCTGTTGGCTTACTTTGGGTCACGCTCACCTATCTTACACAATTGTGCTAAAAAATAGCTAGAAGAATATGATATTACCTCCAGAAATTCAAAGAGTTCGACTACACCCTCTCTAAAAGCGATTGAGGCATTAGCAACGGATGTCTTTATTGCATCATATGTCAGGCCTCCCTCAACAAGAAGAGCATGAGTTTTTCCCCACCTACATGAGAGAACCTAAAGTTTTGTTAAGTTCAATCAACACATAGAGAAAAAAAGATCAAGTTTCTTTTAAGCCTTTACTAAAGAAACATAAAATAACTACTAATGAACATGATATTTTAACGGACTCAGTATTCATAGAATTGACGATTTTATATGCTACCAGAGTTGCTATCTCGTAACATATTAGAGTCTCATGGTGGCAGCACAGTTGGTAACATACCACTCTTCCATGAGCTTTGTTTTCTCTTCAATTGGAATATGTGGGGAGAATTCTAGGGGATGATAGTATTCAAATAATGCATGCCTCTTGGCATCATACTCTGGATTTCCTTGCTTCAAAAGGCCATGGCTGCCTGTACATGTTACAAGAGGAAAATGACAACAAACTCCAAATAATTTAACAATTGTAATAGTGTAATATAAGTTAGGGACACCTACTTTGCCCCCGACTGCCATTGATCCAATACCGTGTCAGGGTTGCATCAAAATCTGCAATTACCTGATATTTAAAATAATCAGTTCTTTTTGCTACATTTGTCCTAAAAGAGAATAAATTGAATTTAGATTATCTCTTGATGTTGCAACACAAGTGCATGATTGTTCATGTTTAGTCAAGACCTATTCCTTCGTTAAATTCTTTAATTCGTTTTTTTTTTCCCCAAAACTACTGAAACCCAATGAAAAAGGAAAACTTCATATTTTTTGCAAAGTAATGAATACTTCAAATATAAAGAAAGCCAACAATATTTTCAATTTCATAATAAGAAAATTCAACCAGCAATCACCATTAGAAATGGAATGAAATGCAAGGAAAAGTAATAGTTCCTTAATTTCATAGAAAGAAATGCTAACCCTCATATCACAAACGATTTGATCAACCATGAAAAATATACAAAAACTTCTATATTCTCCAAAGAAAGAAAAGAAACATGAAAAGATAAATGCAGTAATCCTTGACAACACTTTTATGAAAAAAAAAAAAAGACTTGTGCATCAACATAACAAAATTACATCAACGCATCTTCTTAGGAATCTTAAAAAGCCAATTACCTTAAAAAGATCCCAAACAAAAATAAAGCTTTCACTTAAAGTAAAATCTATAACATCAACGGAGCTAGATAATTAAGCTGAATAGAAAAAAGAGTAAAAGAACCTGGAGTTTAGAAGGACCCGCCGAGCGAATTGCGGAAATTTTATTCTCCAGAGACTGAGGATCAGCCGTTACAGTAACTTTTGAAAAATCATGCTCCTCCATTTGGGTTCTAGCGTTCAAACTGAAAGTATCACCACAGCGCCAAGCCCTGCACGTAAAGAAAAGAAAAATAAAACAACCCAGTGAGAAAAATTGCAAAGACTTTAACTTGTGTAATGTACAAATGCAAATAAAAGGTAAGGAGAGACCTTGAAGAGAAATGGGAAGGATGAAAAATGGTGGAAGAGAAGAAAAGAGGAAGCGTGAGGTTGCTGTTGCTGACGCTTTGGAAACGATAACTCATTTCTGACTGAGTGAAAGCTTAGAATCTATGTATTTATGTAATGCGGAAACGGACTGCTGATGTCAGGATTGATATATTATCGCGATGTCAGGTAGGATTGATATATGATCGTGGGTATCGTTAATTGATCTATATGTTTACTCTTTATTAGGTTTGTTATAATAGAGATTATTCATATGCATTCAATTAATGTATTTAATATAAATCTTTTACATTATTATTTTAATTTAAGATCTTTCACATTCCTCTTTTAATTTGATAAATTACTAACGATTCGTTTGTGTTATTGATTTCCATGAATATTAAGAGATTGTTATAATAAAAATTATTCACATGTATTCAATTAATGTATTCAATACAAATCTTTCACATTTCTCTTTTAATTTGAGATCCTTTACATTCCTCTTTAAATTTGATAAAGATACAACATATATTTTCACATTTATGAAACTCAATAATACACTTTATTAATCCATTAATATTTAACATTCATTCATGCATATTAATTATTATTAATATTTTTATACCCTTTCACATTCAATTAATTATTATTAATATTAATATATCTTTACCCCTTCACATTCAATTAAACAAAAATATCAAACATAATAACGAAAGATGTTTTTTATAAAACGTATTACCATTTAACATTTAATATAAATTTGAAAATTTGAAAATTATCCAATAACAATAAAACATTTAAATCAAAATAATCATAATCAATAACATGCAAAGACTTACTAAAAAATGTCAAAAGTCATATTAATTAGCAATAATCCAATTATATTGAACATAACATGAACAGTTGTTGTAATAATTAATTATCATATAATATTACTTAATGACATCTAAAGCTATATAAGAGTAGAGAATTCAACAATCCATACACCTTCAAATATTTCTTTCATTTCACACATATGCCATTAACAAATGGAAGACAAAAGACCAATTATTGGCAATCCAAAATCCAAATAAACAGAAGCGTGCGGTAAATAACATCAATTGATTACTCTTATATTCCTTCTACATATCTACTTTTACATGTCCATTTTTTTATTTTTAGCAGGTCAAGCAGCAACATCAGATGGTTTGCCTGAACTGGAAGGTATTCTACAAAACCTTAAAGTCATGCTGGACAAACTCAACACTGCCAGAGTGATGAACAGAGATATAATGAATGCTTTGTTAGAAATAACAGGTTGAACCATACATGTAATATTTGATTTACGGAAACGTGAATCCCTGATTATTGTCAAAGAAAAGGAACTTCGTTTTCCTCAAAGAAAAAAATAGAACTATATATATAAACAGTTCTATTATCAATAAAATTGATAAAAGATTCACAGTATATTGTTCCCACTGAATGATGATATCAGAAGCTAATATAAATACTGTTTATTCTACAATTAACGCATAATTCTACATTACTATTTTATACTTTTTTATCCATTTCTTAAAGATTCCATTTCATTGTATAACTTAATGGGTTGAATTTAAATTTTAAAAGTTTTTTAATTAAGCAGTGAATAAGTTTCTCAACAATTGAATATGTGTTGAATGATTCATTTCTTTGTATAATTCAATGACTTAGATTTAAATATTGAATTTTTTTTTTTTATATGTTCCTTAAAATGACATGAGAACTAAACGTCTACAGTTGTTTTTGTTCTCAGAAAGATCCAAAATTGTCTTTTTGCAGATTGGCTATATGGCGATATGTGGGATTGGTTCCTATCCGGGTTTGGAGGGTGTTGAGAGATGAAGTTTAATTGGGAATTTGTCAACAAGGATGATTAGTAGGCAGTTTGTGGGAAGTCAAAGTCATGTGTGATGTTTCAGAGGAGAAGTTTTAGAGTTCAGTGTTCATCTTCGAGGAAGGTTGTTTCTCGAGTTGAATCTAAGGTTGTTTCTGTGGAGGAAGAAGAGTCAAGGCATGTTATGAGGTTCAAGATGTTTGATTTCAAGATGCTTGATCGTGTTGCCTTGGCCTTGCTAGGCGGTATGTTTGTGAAGAATTCAAATGTTTATTGGAAATTTGATGGCGGTGTTTGATTGTTTTTGTGATTATTGAATTGGGATTCCTGTACGTTGATGGGTTGTTTTTGAAGCCATTGTGAATGATTCTAACAGTTTTCATTTCTTTTTTGTTTCCTTCTCATTATTTTCTTATGATATGTTAGACTAAGGCTGAACTTATGATGTTTGTATGGTGAGATTGCAGCCCTTTGTATAACACAAGTTGTGCTAGAAAACTAATGAAACGTAAGATCAATTAAGGAGTGAGTAACTTCTATTGCTACTGGTAGTGCTTTTGGGAACCAGCATGGTTATTGGTGATGGCATTCTAACTCCGTCAATGTTTGGTATTATTTCTTTCATACTTACATATATTTTCCATGTGAAGTTATAGATTGATTATGGCCACAGCATAATGGATGGTTTTGTCCATAGATCTCCATCAAATTGGATATGATATGTTTTAGCTACTGCTAATGTATTAGCTTCCAAATTGGACAACTTCTCTCTACTTTTCACTTTGATGCATATAAGTATGTGTTTATGTGTTTGCATATGCATGTGTGTGTGATGGGATAAATGAGTAACATCTTGTTAATTTTTTTTTTTTTTTTAATCATATGAACTTGATTAGTTCTCAAACCCAGCAGCTAACATGATGGAAAGCAGAGACCATATTCGAAAGGTAATCTTTTCTTTTATAGAGTACAAATTTGATGATTTATGTGCCAACTTAGTGTAATCTTAAAAACACTTACTCTTTAAGTTTTCTTAATGTCTAAATGCAGTTGAATTTTTTTTTTTCTTGGTGGTTTTATGCAACCAGACTAAATTAGTAACCCATTATTTTTCTTGGTTATAAACTCAAACTTCTTGCAGAAAGAGTTTTTCAAATAGAAATTTTTAAGTTTTTAGTGAACTTTTGTGTAGAACTAATTTTGGATTAAAACATATGTGGATGTTTGACAAATTCTTGGATATTCATATTCATATTTGGCTAATTTGACCAACCTCTTGACTTGAGGACGAATTGAGCTCCAGCATCAAGCTCTTTGGAGATCGATGCCTATTTCATTATCAGTTTTTGATATATTCATGGAGCTTGGAACTACAGTTCTCATCTTTCTCTTTGTGCTTGACTAAGAGTTGTTCCACCTACAACAACAACCTATACACCACCTGTTAGCAACCGAAGTGGTCATTCCAAGTGAGGCAGCCATTGCCCCACTCACAGGTGTTTACTTTAAACCATTGTTTGTCTATGAAATTTCATATTATTACTGATTTTTTTCTGAACGTAAATGATTTAGTTTTGATTCCTTATTATGCAGCCAACCTTTGGCAGTGATGGTCACAGTGAGCATTGATGGGGGTGACATTCGGAATAATTTAATGAACACTTCTTTTTTGGCGTAGACACAGTATGAACCATTTAAAAAAAAAAAATATTGTCCATTTATTTGCTTTTCTGTGTCTTATAAACAATGTATACTGCAAAGTGTTTATCAATGAAGCTATTTTATCAAAAAGTTGCAAGCTTACATTCTTAGATAGGTTATACATGTTTTTTGTGTGGACTCTGTACCAGTAATAGTTTGTGTTTTGTGGCGAATAGAGTTGTGTTTGGATGATGAAGGATGACAAATTTTATTTTTATTTATTTTTGCTCTTTCATGGTGCTGGGCAGCCTTTTAAAATGGTGAAAGATTAGCTGTTAAACCTCAAAGCAATGGTTATTCCATGCAGGAACTACTAATTTTAAGAAGGCAAAATTGTCATTTCAATTATATTTATGTACCAAATTATTGTAGAAAAGTGTTGCAACTCTTCTTTTGCTTTGAAAAGGGAATATATTCTTATTACTAAAGTTCCAGTATTATTTCGTTCTTCAATTAATTAATTTATTTGTGTCAAAACCACTTTCATAAGTTGCGAGACTTTCAACTTCTATGTTTGAATTCAATTAATTCATTCCTGCTGAATTACAAACGGACCATTTCAATCTTCTATCACTTGCATTTTCAATTAAAAGAGGAATGTGAAAGATTTGTACTACATACATTAATTGAATGCATGTGAATCATCCCAATTTTATCAACACCAATAAACAGCAAACACGGGGACCAATTAACGACATCGTAAATGGCAATCATATAACGATTCTCAGCAATCTTTAAACATAAAAACCCGATTAAAAAAAAAAAAAAAAGAACAATAACAAAATGTTATATTATAATCAATATTTGACATATTTTTTTGTGAAACAATAGCCATTTACAATTTCTTAAAATATAAAAATTTGATAATAAAATAAAAACAATATAATAAATAAACCCGCACAACGTGCGGGCGTGCCATCTAGTATTCTTATAATGTCTCAATTGCCAATTATCACTGTTCCCCTGCATTTTTTTTTTTAAATATCATTAATTTAATTTTATCTTATTTATATGTGTTCTTACAAGTTACAACGTTAAAACAGGTGTTAAGGTTTTCTTTACCAGCCATAAAGAAAAGATATTTTAATTACCCAAGCTTTCACGAATCATTAAGTTCTCACCCGTGGTTTAATAAATTTCATATTTCTACCCTTAAATTAACAGAAAATTGTTGAATGTAATGGTTAAAAGATAAAATAGTCATTTCTGCTCCATTGAGTCTGAAATGAAAATGATAACTCCCAAGGAGCCCCCATTCCATATTACCACCACCACAATAGTTCAAACCACCACCATAGTCGGCCAAACCACCACCATAGCCAATTCCAAACCATTACCACAATAAGCTAAACCATCGCCAAAACCCATTCCAAACCACTATCACAGCCATCCAAACTATCACCATAACCGACCAAACCACCACCATAACCCATTCCAAACCACCCCATTTCAAACCACCACCACAACCGGCCCACCCTACAAAGCAGTACCCACAAACCCCCATCCACCATGAAGCAAATCAACCCAACACAACACATGCAAGTAAACCCAAATTCATACCGTCAATTATTTAAAAAAAAATGGGGAAGAAAGGAAAATGGAAAGGGGGAGGTTATGGGGTGGGGGAGGAAGTTGCTTGCGACACGATGAAGAGAAAAGGGATGGCACGTAAGCAGGGGCGAGGTGGTGAGGCAGAGCAAATCATATTAAATAGTCATACGATGAAGGCCAACGACTTTGCGGCCTACCTTAGGCTGCTCGGCTAGGCAACAACACGTAAGCGAGGGTGACAGGGAGTCGATCTCGGCGGGAGTCCAGGCAATCATAAACCTCCACCACTACTTAGCCAGGCGATATCGACCGAGATCGGCTCTTGAGCTGGTGATCTTGGTTGGGATCTCTTGGCCACTGGTGATAAAGGTGGAGGCAGGGAGGCGGTGGAGAGAAATTTGAGATGTGGGGTTATTTTGAATCAAAAGTAAAAGGTTCAAGGGTAGTTTGGTAATAACACTCTATACCACGTGTTAGAACCCAAAAATTACTAATAGCGATAATTTAAGGGTGGGAATTGGAATTTATGAAACCATGGGTGGGAGCTGGAGATTTGCCAAACCTTGGTGGGTAAATAATTAATCTATTAATTATAAAGAAATATTTAATATTTTAGTTAAGTCGCAGGGAAAAACAACCCGGCAGCAGCGATTGAATTTTGAATCACTTAATTTTAATCTTCATAGAGAGAACGAAGTTTTGCTCCGTCCATGCCTCTCGTGAACACCTGATAAAGTAAGTCACCAAACCATTCTTTTTACTTGAATTTATTCATGGGTTTTTGTTCTTTGCTTTTGTCAGTGTTTGTGCTCCGAGTAGCAGAAACTTCCGTTGGTGTTAAAATGGAGATGGGTTGTAGCCATTCACGTTGTATTATGATTCGTACTTCATTGTTATTTTATTTCGTTACCGGTTTAACTTTTGAGGGTTAAAAGCTGAGATTTGCATTCTCAAATGTTGATATCTTGTTTCAATTGTTTGGCTAAAAAAACTTCTATTGATGATTTAGAACTTGCAACTTATTTGGGGACAGGATTTTATTGTTGTTCTTCTGAATCTTCTTTATGAGCTCTGGCATTTTTGGATGTTCATTTTATGAAATTCAATGCCTGTGGCCTTAGAAGACTGTGCAAAAAAGGTTTTTGTTATGGTATTAGTAATATGGGGTTTCCTTATATCGACCCAATTATGTTGTTGTGGTGCAGTTTAAGTTCATAGATAGTAATGAAAAATTGTTTAGAATGTTTTTCTGAATGAAGTTGTATTACTGGAATTGCAGTTGGTAATAGTACTATGGCAAGAGAAGCTAATACCCTTTTCCTTGAAGAATGGCTGAGAAACAGCAGTGCTAGTAGTAGTAACGTCACCTCTGCACATTCTTCTTTTTCTTCATCTTCATCATCATCGGCACGAGCCATTATTCAAGCATGGACTGACCTTAGAGACTCCATACAAAACCAAAGATTTCAACCCCACCACCTTCAAGCTTTGAAAGCCCTTCTCAAGTCTCAGGCATCCCTTCATGTTGCTGACCCCCAGGCTAAGCTTCTCCTATCCATTCTCTCCTCTCGAAACCTTGACTTGCCTGCTGAGTCATATCCTCTCTTGTTCAAGCTTCTTTATATCTGGATCAGGAAATCCTTCAAACCGTCATTAGTACTAATTGATTTAGCTGTAGAAGTCCTCTCTAACATTTTTGGTACTGAATTTGGTGCTAAGAAAAGCCCTTTTTTTTACGCTGATGGTCTTCTGCTCTTGGGGGCCTTTTCCTTTGCACCTTCTGTGGCCGAAAAGTCAAAAATAGTCTGCCTGGAATTGTTTTGTGGGCTAATTAAAGAAGATTACCAATTAGCTAACTCATTTGAAGAAGTTATTTCTGATCTGCTGGCAGGCATAGGTTATGCTCTATCTTCGTCTGTGAAAGTTCATTTTGTTAGAATTTTATATTCTTTTTTTGGAATTTGGGGGAAGGAAGATGGACCTTGTGCCAGTGTTTCTCATGGGCTAATGATTTTGCATTTGTTTGAATGGGTTATATCTGGCTTTATCAAATCAAATTATGTTGAGAAAATTGAAGTTATTTCCCAAGAGATTTTTGAGAATCCAAAGGCAAACTATGTTCCATTTGCTCTTCTCATGACCGCGGCTGGGGCTATAAGAGCTTGTAATAGATCTGTATCAAGTGGTCAGAGACTGCAAATCCTTTTCAAACTGAGGATTTCTGCAGAAAATAAGATAGAATCTATAGCACAATATTTGACTTCAAAAGAGGGAGGGTTTTCTAGTTTTTTGCTACAGTGTCTTTCATTAGGCTTGGCTCGAAGTGGTTCAGTTTCTTCCCGAGGTCCTCTATTTCTATGCCTTGCTTCAGCACTGTTAACAGAAATTTTCCCGTTGCGGCAATTCTATATAAGGCTTCTTGAGTACCCACATGGCAGCTCTGGTCGACTAAGGTCTAAGGAGATCAAAGAACATCTAGAAAGTGTTCTTTTCAAGGAAGCAGGGGCTGTAGCTAGTGTTTTATGTAATCAGTATGTCATAGGAGATGAAGAGAACAAGGGTATGGTGGAGAATCTTATATGGAATTACTGTCAAGATATTTACTTGGGGCACAGGCAGGTTTCTTTGTTGCTTCGTGGTAGAGAGGATGAGTTACTTGGTCATTTGGAGAAAATTGCTGAATCTGCTTTCCTTATGGTTGTAGTTTTTGCATTGGCTGTTACAAAGCACAAACTGAATCCGAAATTCTCAAAAGAAGCACAAATTGAGACATCAGTGCGGATATTAGTTTCATTTTCTTGTGTGGAGTATTTCCGGCGTGTGCGTCTGCCAGAATATATGGACACAATACGAGGAGTTGTCGTGAGTGTTCAGGAGAATGAGTCTGCTTGTGTCTCTTTTGTAGAATCCATGCCCTCTTACACTGACTTGACAAATGGGCCAGGTATTTAAATATCAGGTTCTAGTTATACTTCTTACAAATTACAAGTATCAAGTGCTGATTACACTTGAGTTTAAATATCAGGTTCTGATTATACTTCTTACAAATTACAATTATCAAGTGCTGGTTATCCTTGAGAATCAGTTCCGTGATTTTGTTTGCTTTTGATAATATTTAAGATCTTGTGTTACAGACTTCTCCATTCTGCAAAAGATGGAATACTTATGGTCCAAGGATGAGGTGCAAACTGCTCGCATCCTATTTTACCTGCGGGTTATTCGAACTTGCATGGAACGTGTAACTGCCCTTTCCTTTAGAAGGGTTATAGCTCCTACTATATTCTTGTATCCTTTCAATAAACAACAAGTCTTATCAGGAAACTCATTATATAAATTGATGTGTGTTTTTGTTAAAAAAAATTATTCCTTACTATATTTGAATTAGGTATATGGGACATCCCAATGAAAAAGTAGCTCAAGCCTCCCACTCTATGTTTGTGGGATTTATATCTTCAGGGAAGGATTCTAACCAGGATGAAAGAGTTTCACTGAAGGAGCAACTTGCTTTCTATTACATTCAGAGATCTTTAGCGGTATCTACAGCAACTGAAAACAATAATGGAAGATTTTGAGGCTTTATCATCAAAGTTTAGGTGCTAACTTTTGTTTCTTTATTTTTTAATTTAAATGTAAATGTAGGGATATCCTGGTGCCACTCCTTTCAAAGGTATGGCTTCTGGAGTTGCGGCCTTGGCTCGACATCTTCCTGCTGGTTGTCCAGCCACATTTTATTGTATCCACAGTCTTGTTGAAAAAGCTGATAGGCTTTGCAGTGAGGTATCTACTCACAAAGCTGATATATGGAAGAACTGGCAAGGAGAGTCAGACCCTTGTAAGGAAATCCTAGAGTTGCTTTTACGGCTTATTTCTTTGGTGGATATACAGGCAAGCATCTGAAAATTTCGCTTTTACATGCTTAAATTCCTTCTCTCAAACAGTGCCTTTTTTTTTTTTTACCTTGTTTTCTGTTTTCCTCTCAGAAACTTGGCTTGATGCCATGTTTTTTGTAGTTTGAGATGATATATCATAATAGGAGTTACAGGTAGAACCAATATGAAAATATTAACGTTTAGCTTGAGCTATTTGCTTCACCTATTGCATTGGAGATTGAAATTGCTTGGACTAGATGATGTTGGAAAGGACTTGCACTTTTTTATCCCGTGACTTTGGTGTTTGAATAAATATATAAATTAGGATTTACTTGCTTGTACAGGTACTACCAAACTTGATGAAGTTGTTGGCTCAGTTGATAGTAAAGTTGCCAAAAGATGGCCAGAATTTGGTTCTCAACGAATTACATTCACTGGTTGCAGAATCTGATGATGTTACACGCAAACCCACTTTAGTTTCATGGCTGCAGTCTTTATCTTATGTATGTTCTCAGGCTACCAGTGGAGGTGCAACCTCTACAGGAGTAGGAGGTGAAAAAACTTCTCTTCCTGCATGGGCTGTGGACTCCTTGAATGCGCGGCTTTAAGATATTAGGGTGCTAGTTTAGGTTATCTTCTTCTCCCTGTTTTAAAAAGATCCTTAATTATATTGTACAGCTCGTACTCAGTTGCTTAATAAAATTTCCCGAAATTTTGGGAATGATAACTAAAAATGTCCTCATAAGATAGTTTTGCATCTGTAGGTTGCTCTACAATTGAATAAATATTTACGGCAATGTGCTTTAATTTGTTGTACATTGATTTTTTCCTGTATATCCCAAAGACGTTGCAAATAATAATAGAGGAAGCAAATATGTTTCGTTCATTTTTGTTAAAGGTTTTTTGTGCTAACCCTTATATTTGAAGCATGATCTCTTGGTTCATACACCTTAAATTTGAAGCATGATCTCTTGGTTCATACACCTTAAATTTGAAGCAGGATGACAGGATTACAGCCAAAGACTAGGTTCTTCCCTGCATCCTGTTCGCATTGTTAATTTCTTTCCTTGTCTGATAAATGAATCACTTCTGAAATATATGGATCATGTGCGGAGGATATGATTTCTGGTGGAGAAGGAATTCTGCCGTGATTAAGGTACATTTAGTTTTCTTTTTCTAACTCTGCCTTATATTTTCTGTGCAAAGTAATATACATGATGATTTTCTGTGAAGTAAAATATGGCTCCAAAAATATTGGATTCCAGATTTCGGTATTGTTGTCGCACATGAAAACTCAACTTTGATACATTCACATATATTGTAACATGTCATTTAGAATGCCATTTATGGCAAGAGAATAGTGAAGTTGTGAACCAGTGAACTCTAAAAGTTGCTTGCTTTTGTGAACTTAAAAAGATATATTTTCTGCATGCAAGGAACAATGTGATGAATTAGATTGTTTTTTGACCTGCGGCTTACAATTATATGATCATCTTAAAGTATATTTGTGATTTAGCTTCAGATCTTGATTTTGTACATGTAATGAACAGTCAACAAACTAAAGAAAATCCTGCTTCTCCATGCATGAGTCAGATAATGTACTTTTATCTTTTGAGTTGTCCTCCCGGATCAGTCGATCAAGAATTTGGTCTCTATCTGGACCTAGGAACCTACATACCTCAGCTATTCATAGAATGTGAAAAGGTAGATGATAAGCATCTACTTCCAAAAGAAATCAATTTATTCTTTTTTCTCGAACCATCTCCAACAGATGATCAAAACTTCATTTAGATTCGAATCAGAGAACCCTATTGAGAGGTCTACTAGGATCATAAATCGCAATACATTTATATTAAATAGTAAATAAATCCATTTCTTTTTTTATAGATTCTCATTAAAGCTCCTTTCAATTTCAAAATTGATCTCTATTTTAAATAGTAAATTAATAATTGATTAAACGACTTTTTCAAAAAAAAAAAAAAGAAGAAAAAATACATATAAAAACACTAATTTCCAAAAGAATTTGAGACATAAACCAGTCGTGCTTCTGAATTATGCTGAGTGGATTTGATTTCTGGTTGAGAGGGAATTCTGCCGTACTCTAGGTATGTTTAGTTTTCTTTTTCTAATTCTTTGCTAACGCTACGCATCATGATTTCCCATGAGTCAAATATGGTTCTAAAATATTTGATTCCAGATTCCAGTATTGTTCTCATACATGAAACCTCAATTGCGATACATTCACATATATTGTTACATGTCATTTAGAAAAGCCATGTACGGCAAGAGAATAGCGAAGTTGCTTGTTTTAGCAAAAGATATCTTTCCGGCATGCAAAGAAGAATATCATGAATTAGATTCAGCTCAGGTAAAGATTATTTGCAGAAGCTTCAGTTTTGACTTTGTATTTGTAATGAACAGTTAACAAACAAAGGAGACTTCTCCAAGCATGAGAAATAATTTACTAATATTTTTGCTTTCCAGTTTTTATTGCAATTTACCTGTCTAGAAATTAACCCTAATCGCAAATTATGCTGTTGATGTACTTGTATTTGCCTATGGGAATTTGTTAACAAAATGCGGCTGCAATTGAGCTTCGCAATGAAAGCAAAACAATTTATTGCAGAGAATAAAGGATCCAAGTAGTCTATCAAACCAAGCTTCCACAATTCTAAAAGCAATTAATTCTTGTATCAAACAAAGAGAATGTTTTTGAGGATCTTCCCTGCAGCTGTAATAGACGTAGATTCTACCCCTTTTGGGGGAAGAATCTTAACAGTACGAGGAATTTTATTACCTGAGATGTAGGTTCTCCCTTGGATTTATGTGTTCTAATGCTGCAAGTTTAAATTCATCACCAAAATTTCATGTAAATTGTTCTGTACCTGGCTTTGAGAACGAGTGTTTGGTCCAAGGTAAGGACTTGAAGACTGCAGCAAATGCCTTTTTCTACCTATTTTGAAGTAGGAAGGAATCTAAAGTAGGCAATTACGGGTTGTTAAAGGTAACTCAAAAACTAATAAAACCAACACAAGGTTGAGGTAAAGACTGATGCATTTCCTTTCGTTAAGATTCCTTTTTATAGTAGGAGTTCTAATAGAATTCAGCTATCACACCAACTACCCCATTAAAATAGGACTCTAGAGTCTAGAACAAACAAAGTAACTAAATCAACATAACTACAGCCACGTTCCCAACTCTTCATTCTGACTTATTCAAACTAAAAACTGACTACTCACAAAAAGCAATAGCAGCTCTTGGATAAATATTCCAAGTACTGACCCAGCACATAACATTAATAAGTTTCAAAGATCCCAAAAGCATGATAAGTTTATTTTTTTATTTATGAATTTTACAAAGTGAATATGGAAAGCTTTATTTCCAATCCACAAACTGTAACAATTATCTGAAGCAACTCTACATATCTTCTGCTTCAACCATACAAAAGAATTAAAAGAATCCCAACCCAAAACCAAGATACAAATAAGAATCCAACTTCAAGTGGTACAAAAAAAATTAACAAAATGCACGAGGAAATTCTCTCTCAACAACAAATGGGGCAGATAATCAACCCATTTTCGTTACACTCTTGGCATTCACTTGACAATCCTTCATCATCAACAACCTTATGGCTGCCATTGCACTTGAAACAAAGCACAAATCTCACTCCTGCACACCCTTCACAGGGGCCATTGGATTGATCAATGGGAATTCCTTCAAAGAGTGGCCTGAATTTTCCTTGCTCATGCAACACTAAAACTTCTGCAGCTCCTCCGATGTATCTTCCTTTGATGAAAAGCCTTGGAGGTAATGCTTTGTGATCAAAGATTCTCCACAACTCTTCCCTGAATTCTATGTGCATCGACACATCTCTCTCGTAGTATGTAATCCGAAACATCTCCAGGAGAAACCGAATGCTGTTGCAATCCTCAAAGGTTTTTCTTATCCCTCTCAATGTTGTTGTGTAGAGAATTACTGATTCATCACCACCTGGAGGACACTTCTCTTCAAAGGCTAATAAAGGATTGTCATCCTCCTTTTCTTCTTCTTCTTCGTGTAAGCGGCGAGTTTTATGTGGGGGCTCTTCTTCAATCTGTTCAAGTTCAAGATTATCTTGCTCAATCCTTGACTTTCTTTCTTCTTCTTCTCTCAGTTTTTCAATATTCTCTTGTTCCATTCTTGCTTTTCTCTCTTCTTGGCTCATCCTAATATGCACATTCACAGCTTCCTCAAAGGCGGCGAGCAAATTCGGATCAAAAAGGCTGCCAGAGTTCATATCTGGTCGCCTAAAAGAATTGACATCAATCTCACATAAAGCCCTGGTTTCTGTACACAAACCACTCTCTGATTTCTTCAAAACCCCAACATTCTCCCTGCAAGAAAATGAATCTTTTCTCTTCATTACCGGCCTAACATTCTCCTTATCATCAACATCACCATCATCATCCAATTCAACTTCCATTTCATCTTCTTCTTCAAGGTCTTTCATAAGTTCAGCCACATCAATAACATCAGGCTCCCCAAAAGTTCCAATCTTTTCCTCTTCCTCAAACTCTTTACACACAAACTGTGCTTCCTTCACATCCTTATTCGGTGGACTCTTCGTAAATGCTTCAAACAACCCATCTGCGGCATTGACCATAAGAATTCTATCCGGCTTCAGATTATAAGCAACCGGTTTAATAGCTTTGAGCTTCTTGAGCAACTTTCCCTTCACTCCCTTCATATTTTTCTCGGGATTCAGCCTCCAGGGGTCGAAAAGCCAAAAATCTGAACTGGGGTAGAAGAATTATGCGCAAAGATTCAAAGATTGGAACAGGATCTTGAAGATAAAGCGGTGAAATGAGATGATTTTTGTTTTTTCTTTTTGGTTGAGCTGAATGAGAGAGTGAATGATCTTTTTCAAGTTCAACGGCTAGAAAAAGCTGTTTTTTTTGTTTTAAATTTCGAAAATGGTAAGGTGGGGAATGAGAGAGGAATCCTATGCAGCCGGGAGCATGATAATGTCGACAACAGATGAGCACGTGTATTTTAGACAAAGATTATCTTTACCTAAAGCTAATAACGGTCATAATTTCTTCAATTCGGCCACCATTTTTTTATTTGATTGTATGCTTGATTTTGATTAACCTTTTTCTTAAATAATATATTTTTAAAAAATAAATATTTATACTCATAATTCAATCTCACAAACTTTCTTTCACAATTCTGACGTAACAGTTCGCATAAATCTCGTTTACCTAATTACAAATTGTTACGTTGGAGTTGTTAGAAAAAGTTTGTGAAAATATGATTTTATTGATATAGTTATTACAAAACGAAAACAATTTATCATTATATGACACTTTTTATAAAAATTAAGAAATTTTTTTGATATAATAAAAGGTAAAATAGCAGTATGTTTAATTATGTTATTATAAAATGACATAAATACCCTTAAACATGAGGTTTAAAATTCATTATATTATAAATGAATCTTTAGTATTCCTAATTTTATGATGGTCAAATGCAAATCCCTTAAATTGTAGAGAAGTAGCACTTTTTTAAAGATAAGCATTTGGAAAGATGGCAATTTTTATGAAGTTTAAAGAGGGTTTTAATTTTTAAACTCCAATTAAAATCTTAATCATAAAATTATGCTATTTCAAAATCAAAATTTGAATTTATTATAAAATTTTGAATTTTTAGAAAATTCAAATAAGAAAATCCATAAGAAATATCTTTAACAAATAGTAGTACTACTACTTTTTGAATAATATTATTATTGGAAGATGTAGGGGCAAAATTTTATGAGAAAAAAAAAATTATCAAAAACTTATTTAGATTAATAAGATGAATTTTCAATTTACTAATAAATTTTTAAACAAATTTATTTATTTATATCTAAAATAGATTTTCTCATATAATAAGAATTGTATTCGAATTTTTTTTTTTTTTTTTTTGAAGTTTACTCATCGTAAAAAATTTACAAATTCATAAATGCATCTTAAATTCATATAAATTCCACCTAAAGTTTGAGACTCAGAATGGAAGGAATAGCGGAAGGGGGACAGTACAAGAAGTTCGAAGTCTACCAGTCCGGAGTATCTAATTTTTGAGGAGGAACAAGATCATGAGAAAATACAAAAGAAAAGGAGATTGGATTCAACTAATGAATTATTCTGCAGATTAACTGATGTGCTGGATAAGAGGGTTAATGATACAGGACCTTCCGTGATGGCGATATTGCGAAAGCTGCTAATACACAAGGATCCATTGTTGTTTAAAGCAGCTAATTCGTTTTGCATAAGGAGAGAGTATCGCGAGGTATATCGGTCTTGGAATCTGACCAAGAACGAATGGGTTGGATTCGATATTTGCCTGACAATCTCAAATAAACCTCTTATTTCTTCATTAAAGTTCAATAATGATTAATGAATGATATTAACTCAAACTTGAAGGAATTTTTGTGATAGTTTCATTGATGAGCAGTGAAATCTTTTTCCACTTCTTTTATTTGAGTAACAGTTACATTTTCTTGCATGCTAAGGTTATCAAGCAGAAACTCTTCACTTGCTTTCCTCTTTTTACCCGTTGAAAATTTAATGTCTATATAATGCATAAACAAAAATAACTCTGCAATGGCTTTGCTTAGACAGCTGTTAGTTCCAATCGCCATGGTTATGGCAATATTCTGTGGTGGGTGTTCTAGTTTGCAGTATTTGGTTGGGGACTCAATCTGGTCCACACCGCCATACCCAAAATACTACTCAGAATGGTCTTCTTCCCATCTCTTCTACACTGGTGACTCTGTAGGTCTGGTAGTGGAATTCTTCATAATTTCATAAATATAATTTTTTTTATTTTTTTTTTATTTTGGGTAATCCAATGATATCAGCATAGAGTAATCATTGATTTGTACATTGGGTTTGGGTGACAGTGTTTGGCTTTGAAACTGATGTTTACAACCTGATACAAGTTCTAATATCAGACTACGAGAACTGCACTGCAAACAATGCTGTCTATGTTCTGAATGAGTGAATGATGGTCCAGCAACTATTCTATTGAATCACTCTGGTGTTTTCTACTTCCTTTGCAACTTCTCTAACTACTGTCATCTTGACCAAAAGATTTCTATCATTGTCCATGATACAAATTACAATTCACCGGCACCAACACCAACACCAACACCAGAACCGTTACCAAGAAACTGGATCGACTCTGCGTCTCCAGGTACTGGCAGTAGCGAAGCACCATCACCGCCGATATGGGAGTGCATATAGAGAGCTCTGGAACAACTTCCAGTGGATTAGTGAGCTCGTCCGCTGCCTTCTGCTTTGCTATTTTCTTTCTGTAATGATGATGTTTTTCTTAGAATTCGACCTAATGTTGCCAAATTAACACCATAGCCATATCATAAGTTAATTACTTAACATCATAGTGTCCTAATCTCACAACTGGCTCAGAATTTTTATTATGTCAACCACAATGAGCAGATCAACATTTGCTAAAAATTGGGCAAAGTAAACCTCCTCCAAGGCTTCAACCTAAGTTACGCCATAAGAACAGAATAAAATTTAATATGGTCTGACGAAGCAAAATGCTCAGAGATCCATTTAATTATCAGTTTTTGCAAATCAATAGAAAAATCACATACACCTCTAAAGCCTATAACAGAAGATAAGTAAATGTTGTTGAGAATCTTGTTATCTCGAATAATGTAATAACCACGGGAACCCTTTCTTCTCTATTCCTCATCACTGCTGAGCACATTGCACCCTCTGGGCACCACCATGCATATCCTCGTCTTCATCGTAAGCCTCCTGGGCGGCTTGCTGCTTCCTTCGCATCTCTTCCTCAATATTCACATCATGAAGAGTGGTTTCCTCACACTCATCCAGCTCCATATCCGTCAGCTGAACCGACGACCTTGGGGGTAGCACAGCCTCTAACGCCTTACATTGGTCTGGGGTGAGTGAGTCGGGGAAGTCAACTGTGAAATGAATGTACAGCTTACCCCTCATGAATGGCCTTTGATACATAGGCATTCCTTCATCGTTTATTGCCTTGAATTGGTCTGGTTACATTAGAAGCACAAGTGAAAAAAAAATAACAAGATAGCTAGATATCTCTCTGACATTAACTTAAAAACGCGGATAAAAAACCTGAGTGTTAAACCCAGGTCAAGTAATCAATGCATTCCTATTTATAATGATTCTCAGCTCATAAAACATGTATTAGCACAGTAATTCAACACAACATTGCCCTAAAAAATTCCACCAAGACTGCAATAATAGGGGCCTGTTTTGATCCTGGCCTCCAGAATACTACTAATGATCACATGTAAAAGTGTTTTCAAAACTTTTCCATAGTTGAAGTGACAATGACAATAACTAAATAAACTTAACCAAATTCAAATAACATGTCTTACATATCATAGCACTCAGAAAACTATTTTGCAATTCCACCTATCCATACATATTCCAATCTCTAGAAACAACTGAAAATGATGGATGGTCTTTTATAAAACAGCAGACAACAGAATCTTTTAATACCATGGACACAGAATACAAAGACAAATAAAAGAGTCAACGCGTGACACAAACCTACATATGAATGTCACAAAAATGTAACATATAAAAAATGAGGAAAATTAAGTTGACACTTTAAACAGAAATTATAAATGATTTATATCCAGTACAGCAGAGTACTCATTCTGAGCACCAATTAATGCCATTAGTGGCAAATTTTAATATTAAGGACTACAGATAGAGATAAATTACAATAAGATCAGTAAAACTAAAACTGGAACTTACCAGGCTTTACCACTTCCCCTGGGTTGGATTTTATTAGGAGCTGCCTGCCATCCAAATGAGTTAAAATGAATTGGAAGCCACAGAGAGCCTCAGTTAGCGACAGGGTATGCTCAACAAATAGGTCATCACCCTTTCGCTTGAACTTAGGGTGCTCTCTTTGTTGTAGAAGAAAAACGATGTCTCCCGTAACAGTCTCAGGCTGCACATAACAAAATTATATGTTCTGATCAACAACCAATACCACATTATCGAAACTCTAATCAAAATGCCAACCTCAATTTACCCCCGCCCCAAAAACTAAATACCACTTGAGCACTAAAAAACAAAAAAGGTGTTCACTTACAGCTTCATCAGCTTCTCCAGGGAATGTAACCTTCTGTCCATTTTGCATACCCTTCTCAACTACTACTTCCAACACCTTCTTCTCTTGAACAACCTTCTCACCCTTACACGCTGTGCAGCGATCCTTGTCACTAATAGTTTCTCCAGTACCCTTGCACTCATTACAAGGATGCTGCATTTGTTGTATCATAGAGGGGCCAAGGTGCCTTATTGAGACTTTCATTCCAGAACCTTGGCAGCCAGAACATTTCATTGATGCACCAGATTTAGATCCTTTACTGCACATAATCACATCAAATTGCTTGTGTAAGTGTATTAAGTACAGAAACTCGACCAGTCATACTTGCTAATTCATGAAGAACTCACTAATAACAACTTCAACTACTAACCCTTTACACTTGGCACAAATTACATTGCGTGAGAGGGAAAGCTTCTTAGATGTCCCATTGTAGAGGTCCTCCAAAGAAACCTTGAGGGGATGGATTACATCCTCTCCCCTCCTCTGCCTTCGGCCTCTGCTGCTTCCACCACCTGCATAGGAAGGTTTCCATTTCAAATACAATTCAAAAATATTTGTTTCCTATCATATAGGATGTTCTTTGGTTTCACATGAGACAACAATAAAAGATCCTTACCACCAAACGGGCTGCCACCAAAGAATGACTGGAAAATGTCAAATGGGTCGTGGCCGCCACCACCTCCACCCATTCCCTCCTTGAGGGCATCCTCGCCATACTGATCATATATCTCACGCTTCTCAGGGTCACTCAGAACCTCATAAGCTTGTGCCAACTCTTTAAACTGCATCACAAGCAGAATGTCAAAGTTTAGTAATCCCACTACTGTCGCACGTTACAGATGTAGAGTTACAAAACAATAATTAACAATGGCTCATCCCAATTTCGCACAAAGAAAATCAACAAAAAATACATATGGAAAGTAAAAACAAACAGTAAATAATGCATAAATGAATTGATATCCCAAAACACTGCTCTTTTTAAACATGACTAAAAAGAGCCCACTGATTGACTTAGTTCAAACAAAATAAAATGGTTCCTCAGCAGATAAATTCAATTCTTAAAATAACACAAACTCAAATATCAACTAAAAGATTATCTAAATTTCTACCATGACCTAAAATTCCATTAGCTACAATTGACTTGCTACAACATCAATACAAACAAAATTCCAGATCTAAATCAATTGAGCTTCTCAAATCAAGCAATTAAATCATAAAACTAAGCAATTAATCCAATCAACGAATTAAAAACAGCTCAAAATCACAAAATAGTTCATAAAACAAATAAAAAGTTAACCTTCTCAGGATCACCACCCTTATCCGGATGGTTCTTGATAGCTGCTTTCCTATATGCCTTCTTTAAGTCATCTTGTGAAGCGTTTTTCGACACTCCAAGAATCTCATAGTATTTCGTGTTATCGCTTTTCTTCGGCGCTCTCCCAAACATTTTCTCTCAACTAAAATTCAATACAATCAAATCAAACAGAATCACAATGAAGCAAAACAAAAAATAAAGATCGAAACGAAACGAAACAGAAGAGATCGAAAACTAACCAACCAACCGAGCGGATCTCGAAGAGAGAATAAGCACAGAGAGTAGAGACGCGAGACGGCGAGGGAGCAAGAGAGGGGAAACTTAGAGTTGGATCTCGAATTTTAAGGAAGTGAACGGACGGTCAGGATCCGATGATGCTTTGAGTTAGCTAAGCGGGGTTTGGTTTTTGACGTTTTATTTAACGGAGATGAAGGATCTAGAACAATCTAGGATTTTCTGTTACTTGGGAAGAGATCGGGGCCGTTGGTTTTGGTCAAAATTTGTGGTCTATTTTAATGGAATTTTTATTTTGCTCAAATTAATTATTGGAATGTTGAAATGTGGTGGGAGTTTCATGGTAGAGAAGAGGAAGGAGGCACACTGTCCTTAGTTGACCTGAAAACCGACATGTATTTTTTATCCAACTCCAAGTTGTATATTTTGCAAACGAAGAAAATTATAACCTTTGTATAAAATGATGTGATAGTTGTCTCTTTAGTTATTTCATCATCAGTTTTTATATCACCTATCCTCACTCTTTGGTCTTTTCTCTTTTTTTTTTCCTTCTTTTTTTCTTTTCCCTCAATCTTTTCTCCGTTTTACAGATCTTTAAAAAAAAAACCTAATTTTTTTTCTTTTTCCTTTATCATTGATTTTTAATTTTTTTTTCTCACCATTCTTATTGATCCAGTCTTTTCTTCTATTTCTTTTTGCTTTTTTTTTTTTCATTATATTTTCTCATGGAAAATTCTCTCTCTAAATTTTTCCTGTATTATGCTTAACATTTTCTAGGAAAATTCCATCTCTAAACAAACAATATAATGCTTATAAGCAATTTTGTTCATAACCAAATTCAAACTCTTTAATTCTGGAAATACATCCCCCAGAAACCCAGGAATAGTCTCTGAAACATTAGCAAAGTTTGCTGAAAACTTCTACAAAGTCGTTGCGTTTGTTAAACCCACAAGAATCTCTCAAGACTCAAAGGAATTATAATTAAGGCTTACACTTTGCAAAGAAGTTGACCCAGAAAAGAATTCCGGGGGAAATATAAAAAATTGTTGTTATTAAAAAGCACTTCTTGAAGAAAAATCAACCTAGCAAGAGTTGGGTTAGGTCCACTCTATTCGTTCTTCATCACCTCAAGTATAGTCAGTGAAGTTAAGTTCTTAAGGTGCGGTGGGAGAGTTCCTTTCAGGCCTAGTGAACCGATTTAAATCTTGGCGATCTGATTCTCTCTTCCATCTCGATACTCTGCTTTTCTACATTGTTTGTTTAGAGATGAAATTTTTTGAGAAAATGTGAACCAGAATGTAGAAAAAATTTAGAG